CCATCCCCCCTGGGGGGTGATTTCTCGCTTTCTGTCTCTGTGTCTCTTTCTGTCTGGCGAGCGCACGCGCCCTACAGTGAAAATCTCTCTTAAAAAAAAAAAAAAAAGATTTGAAGGCAGTTTCCTAATCCTCTGTTCTCCAAGACTAGCCAGGCTTGCCAGAGGGCCAGGTTTGGGGATTAAAGCCTATACACTGAGTACAATAAGCTGGGGGCGATGAGAAGAGGCAGTCAGAGTGTTCCTGGATCTGAGGATGTAGTTTCTAGAGTGTGAACCAGAGCCAGGAAACTGGGGTTCTGGGGCTCAGCCTCAGCTATTCCACAAATGTCTGGTTACCGTTATGCCACTGGACTTGTCTTCTCTAAAGTGAAGAGAGTTAGGCTAAATAAATCAATTCAAAAACAGACACTGCGCTTTGATTATGCACTGAGCTGCACGCTAGACGGAAGTGACATTATGACACGCCACATGCCCTTGTGACGAAGCTTTCCAACGTCTCTTGCTGCTCCCTGTTCTATGCGTCTATAAAACAATGCCTAATGCATGGCAGCCCTTGAACACTGCGTCCTTTCACAGCATGGTCATGGCCGCACTGAGACTCATGGTCCTTCCCATTGCTGGAAGTCAAGTGACTTGCCGAAGGACACACAGCTGCTAACTAGCAGAACTGGATCGGAATCCAGATCTCCTGGGTCTCACTCCTATGCTCTCTGTTCCGCAGCTTGCTCGGACTACCCCCAGGTTCCCCACCCAATGAAAGAATAGCATTATTTGTTAAGAATTTCCTCTGAGTCTCACTCAGGCACGAACTCATGGGGATCTCACAGCAAACATAAAAGGATTTCAAAAAGAAGCATCTTTGACAAGTTCATAGAAAATGTGTATCATGAAAAAGATTGCATAGATTTCAAAAACTTTTTTGCACCGGTATGAATTTATACTTGAATCCCATTTTCCACGAACTTTTTGAAGTCCCTTTTTATTATTGTCATTTTACAGAGGAGGAAACGAACTGAGAGAGGTTGCGTGCTTTGACCTAAGTTGCATAGCTTGTTAGCAGCGTTTGATCGCAGGTCCGTCTGGGGCTGCTATGCTGCACTGCCTTCTGGAATGTTCAGAAGAGATGACTAGGGCAGCAGGCTCTGTTCTCTTCCAGAGAAAGGATGGGTGTCCCTTTGGCAGGGTCCTTCTGAGACTCCTCCTGGTGGAAAGGGGAGAAATCCAGAAGAGGCTGGGGAGCTTGCTGTGAAGACACGTCCACCAGCGTCTGTTCTTACACTGAAGGTCTTGAGGTTAGGGCCTTCATGGGGAAATACACAGACTTTCAAGGTCTCCAAAAACATTCCAGGCTCCACAAACCCAAAGGCCCCCAAACAGAGGGGAAAACCACTTTTCCGCAAGAGCTGGCCTTCCTTTCCATTTGGGCCTGCCATCCCCGCTCCCTGTCCCCACCCACAAGCCTTTCCTGTTCCCCAAGCCTGCAGGTCAGGCTCCCATTACCCCACAGTGGGAGGCCTGAGGGTAAATGAACGTCAGGCTTGGCAGTGTCCTCACCTCAAGGCTTCTGCTTTGTCTCCTGCCATTGTGGGAAGGCTGAAAAATAGTAGGGTGCCCCCCAATACACAGATGGGGAGTATAGGTTTAAAGAAGGTAGAAAAGCTCACCCCCTATCCACTGCCTGAAAGGCTTGGACTGAAGCGCAGCACCAGAGACAGGTGCAGAGCTGACCCCAACGTAGGATAGTGTAGCTCACAGCTACAGCTTGCTCGGATCACTTTATCCCACCCAGCAAGCCCCAAGGCAGGCAGTGATGTCTCCATCCTGCAGGTGAGGACTTAGATAACGCAGTCAAGGGCATTCACTAAATGGCCACAAGGCCAGCGTCACACGTGAGTCCTCTAGTCCCAAAGCCAAGGCCACTCTGTCTTGTCCCACTGCTCACTCTCCCTCCACTCCCACCCCCCATCCTGTGATTTCCCATCTTACAGGGTTCTTGTAAGGGTGACAGTTCACCGGATGTGAAGGAAGCCCAGGCTGTCCCTTATAGTGGGTAGGTGGCCCGTGATTGGAGTCCTACGTGTCTGTTGAACGCTGACCCCGCAGGCCCTGCTTTTTAATTATCTTGCAGCAGCCAAGCAACGGGATTAGACTCATTTGGTAGCAACAGGAAGTGTGTGGGATGTGCAGACGTTTGAGGGGACCTTTTAAGGTAGCCAGCAGCTCAGGAACAGTTAGGGGCGGAGTCAACAGCCGCCCAGAGATGAATCTGCAAGCTGTAGGGGGACCGAGCCAAGTCCTGCCGTCCTGCCGCCGCCCGGAGGGAGGTGGCTCTGACGGCAGTGAAGGCACTCCCAATGACAGACGCTGGCGGAAGGTCGCGGCCTGCGCAGAGAGGGATGCAGGCGTGCACCTGTTAGTCACTGCGGGAGGGGAGTCGCTGTCAAGCTCAAAACTCAGTGGCCCAAGCTACCTCCACAGCCGCGCTCCCATAAAACACATGATTAATGATCATCAAAGATGCTCACAAATGGGAGGCTCCAGACGGAGTTTGCATCAGCGCAAGGAGCAGGCACTTCACATTCAATTAATTTTTATCTGACCTGCCGGGTGTCCTCGGGGAAGGGCTCTGTGCTGTAAGGATTACATTCTCTGTCAGGCCCGGAGGGAGTCGCAGCTCAGGAGCTTTCCCAGCTTGAAGCGCTGGAGAGTGCGTTTGTGAGCTGTGCAAAATATAGATGACAGAACTCGGGCAGATGGGGGACTAATGAGCTTAATTGTCCTCTTCCTACCCCCTGGAGACCTGGGGAGGTAAAATTAAGCCTGTTCTCAGAATTTGAAAGAGAAACCGGGTGGCAGGTTGTTTTGTTTTGTTTTTCCTCAAGCAACATAAATTTAAAGGAGGAAATTTCCAGCATACACCCAGGATTCTGACCCTGCACTGGCAGAGTGGGGCAGGAACAGGAGCTAATGGCAGTGGGGCTCTTCTTGGTTGCTGATGTTTTCTGTGGCCCCAAGCACGTCTTGGGTTTTCCTCCTGTTTTAGCCATTATGTTGCTTTAATAGCTGAATACTTAAGTCTGCATGTTTTAGAAAGCACAGAGGTTTATTTAGCTCATGGTTTTAGAGGTACAAGGCCAAGAGGCTGTATCTGGTGAGGGTCCTCTTGTTGATCGCTTTCCGCAGAGTCCCAGGCTGTGCAGGGCATCCATGACAAGAGCGTGTGTGTGTCCGTGTATCTCAGTCACTGTGTCTTGTGTTCATATCATCAAACCAACAGAATTCAGTCATGGGCCCCACCCTGGTGACTTCATCTAATCTCATCCACCTATCAAAGGCCCCATCTCCTAAAACCACAATTGGCTTGAGTTCTCACCCTCTTAATACCTTCACAATACAGTCAAATTTCAACACTTGGATTTTGGCAGACACATTCCATCCATAGCATCTCCTAACACAGGAGGTCAGCGGACAGGCTGGTGTGTGTGAGGCTTGCTCTGAGCTTTGAAGCTGAGCTTGAACTCTGAGAAGGAATTTCCTTTCTGCAAGGAGGAGAGAGTGATAATGTGATTCCCTGCTGGTTCTCAACTCCTGGTCTAAGGACCTCTTCCACCAGATACGGGAAGACAGAGTGATCACAGGAACACTGAAGCACTAGATCTTGTTGAAAACAGTGTAGAGGCCCGAGATGGTGGCTGCCTGGCCCTCCAGGCTGGCTTCTCTGGAGGCCACGGCTGCCCAACTCCTCGGCGTCCTATGGTTTATGTCATTCACCACGCAACCTTGGGAGGCTGCTGCCACCATTGTTACCAGAGGTGAGGAGACACTTAGGTGCGGGGACCTTAAAGTATGACAATATATTTGTAAAGATCCCCAGATAAACGATACTGCACAAGAACCAGTTAACTGTACAAACTACACAGTTCACTTTCCATGTTTCCCGGCACTCCACATAACTCATAAGGATTTCAGTGGCAGTGAAACACATTTTACTGGAAATGAAGTTGCTTTTCTCAAACCCGTATCTTGCTGAAATGTAAATGGCTATTCATACAAAGTGGCAGTTGTATTGTCTCTCTTTCTTGGATGGCTGGGAGCAGATAAATTTTTACCTTGGGCACCCTGCCTTGGGTTTGTTAAAGTATTGCACAGTAGGGTTTTGTGGAATTGAAAGCCTAATTGATTTCATTTTTATTTCAATGCAATTGTTGGATTTTCAGATGGCAATAGTTCCATTGTAGGTTATTATGGAACCAGACTTATAAAACTGTTATAACTGTAAATAAATATATATATATTTTTGGAGAGGTTTTTGCTATAGGGCGTGTGCGCTCTCCAGACAGACAGAGAGAGACAGAGAGATAGAATATGAGAAATCACCCCGCAGGAGGGATGGCCATGCCGCAATCCCTTCTCCTCCATTCTCCTCTCAGGATCTTGGGGCACACACGCACACGCGCCCGGCGTGAGTTTTAAGCCACCGGGTCTGGGACTCGAACCGCGGTCGACTATGTGGGAGTCCAGCGACATAGCCATTATTCTAACTGCTGGTCTCTCTATAAATATTTTTAAAAAGAAACAGATTTGAGCCTCATGATTGCCATAGAGAGCCCTCAGTATGTGGATTTCCAGATTTTCCTTTTCCTTCTTCACATACCACTTTATGAGTTCTGTGTAATTTTTTGATGTTGTGGTTGTTTTGTTGATTCAGTGAAAAGTACATTATCCTGAGATTTAATTAATAGGACTTTCTTTGAAAACTGTGTAATAATCTTTCTGAGGCTACTGTCTCCATGAGATAGATAGCTTATTATTCTGATATTCCTTAATGTTTTTTACAAAGGCAAGTTGCCACTTATTATTTTTGCTTTGGAAAATAAAAGTGTAACTTATTAAAAAAAAATAAAGAAAGAAAACAGTGTAGAGGAATTGAGGGAGCCAGTGGGATTACTCACTGGAGTGAAAAGTCCATGGTTGGGATGGGGGAATTTGGATCCAGGGATTTGGGATTACTTCATTTAGGCTTCAGATAAGGCCAAGGGAGTTTGGAATTGCAGGAGTAAATATTCAGAACTCTGAGTACAAGATTAGATATATAAAGGGATTTCAAAATTTTGTGAAAAAAAATGAAATTAAGTATGAGTTTATTTTGATGCCCCCCAAAATGAAATCCATGTATTTTTTATAATATACATTTTCCATGAACTTGTTGAAGAACTCCTTGTATTTGCAGAGCTTTGAATCAGGCAAACCTGGTTTCACTACTCACCCATGGAGTCATCTTGGAAAGGATGTTTAAGCTCGCTAATCCTTAGTTTCTCATTTGTAAAATGAAGGTAATAAATCTCTCCCTGCTAGGATTGCTGTGAGGATCAAATGGAGTAACATCAGCACACTCAGGGATCTGCTGCAGGTATCTTTCTGGGCCCTTCAGCTTCATAGAATCTCTTTTCCTTTAATATCCCCACAGACTTACCCAAGGCCTATTCCCCACACTGACTTGTACCATCTTTCCTCCTCTACAGTGCTCAGAATTCTGGGAGGATTTCGTTTGTGTCCTGATGACCTCTCACTGATTTCCTGCCTCCACAGAATTTTCAAGTCCCCTCTGCATCTCTCCTCCTATGAATTCCCTCCCCCCCCCCACTCATTCCTCCTTACTCTCCCTAATTTGTTCACTAAGAAAAGCATCATGAACCAAGATTGTGTGTTTACTGAAGATTTGGGCTTAGTTGGGGTTTACAGTACAGACCAAATAACTAAGTGTTCCCCATCTCATTAGCCATTTGTATTAGCTAATTCTACATAACAAATCATACCCAGACTTAGTGGTCACAATTCTGTGTATTAGAATTTAAGATGATCTGGCTTTTCTGGTTTCAGTTAGATTTCCATATCGATGTTCAATTAACTGTGGTTCAATTTGCTGATCTTGCTGGGACTCATATGAAAGGGGTCTTGGCTGGGACACTTGGTCTCTGGTCCATGTGGTCTGTCAACTTGCAACAGGTTAGTTTAGGCTTGTTGACTGAGAAGTAAGTGGAAATGCGCAAGGTCTCTAAGACCTAGGCTTAGACAGTCATTCCACTGCATTCTTTAGGTTAAAACAGGTCATAGGATCAGCTTGCATTGGAGGGGAGGGGAAAAAGACTCTACCTTTGAATGGAAAGTGTAATAAGTCATGTTGTAAAGGGCATGAATAAAGGGAGGAGTGAAATATCGTATCCATGTTTTGCAACCTACTACTCTTGTCTTTCCCATAGAGGTCTCACCTATTGTCCTATTGTTGGATCTTCAGTCTTTCCTCCAAGACTGTCTATATTTCTTTCCCAAACAGTTTCTTCTCCCTGTTCTAGGGCCCCTGACTCT